TTATCCCATCCCTTTGTCTTTCACAAACAATATTTTAGGTCTTGATAAATAAAAAATAGTGCAGGTCTAATGATTTTTGCCGAGTATCTAATTTTTATATCTCTGTAGATATCTGTTCAGCAACAGAAATAAGTATGATGTATATGTATAAATGTAGTTGACATTTGATATCTAATCTTGGACTGGTAACTTTTTCTTTCCATGAACATAAATTGAATGTCTCAGGAAAAAGTAACATTGCTACATTTCAGGTCATATGAGATCACCTTCCCAATTTCAATAGGGAATATAAAGAAAAAAAAAAGGTTTTGATGTATTTATGGGTAAACATTTAGTGTTATTGAAATATGAAGCTACAGTAGAACAAGAAAAAAAAACCTTTGGACAAAACATGCACCTCAGACAGAAGGAGAAAAACTCTTTAATAATAATGTTGCTGTCATTTACAAGAGAAAACAAAAACAGCTTAGCTAAAGCATAAAATAGTTTTACAAAAACAAGCTACCAGAAGAGATGAAAATCAGACAAAATCTACTGTCATTTATATTGAAAATAATGTTAATATTATAAAGTTAGGCTAGGTAGTCTTTTAGAGTAAATTGCTGTCTGGAATAGTCTTGCAAAATAATTTTCAAAAGTGCCAGTTCAAATAAATGTTCTGCTCAGAACTTTTAAAATAAAGACTATGCTTGGTGGGTGACAAAAAATAATTTGTAGGTTTTATTTAGTACAAAAACATAAAATAGTTTTACAAAAACAAGCTACCAGAAGAGATGAAAATCAGACAAAATCTACTGTCATTTATATTGAAAATAATGTTACAGTATTATAAAGTTAGGCTAGGTAGTCTTTTAGAGTAAATACGAATGCTGTCTGGAATAGTCTTGCAAGAGGGAATATTTCAGCTTAAAATAAATGTGCCAGTTCAAATAAATGTTCTGCTCAGAACTTTTACCAAATAAAGACTATGCTTGGTGGGTGACATTGGAGAAAATAATTTGTACTGGTACTTGTATTTAGTACACATGTGTATAAGTAATGGTAGTCTGCAACATCTGAGTAAATATTAGCCTGTTAGATACCTTAATTTCATGTAGAAGATTAGAGGGATAATTTTTTAAACATTTCCAGAAGAAAATATATGGTATTTGATATTATGTTCAAAGTAAAAAAAAATTTTAAGGATAAAAACCCATAAAATAAAACATAAATGCAACAATGTGTGTTTGTGTGTGTTGATCAAAGAATAATGGGCAATATCAAAAAACAACAACAACACCATGTACAATTCTATACACAAAGTTTGGTAATGCATTTGTTAGGATTTGATTGGTTGTTGAAGTATTTTAGGTAATAATAAAGAAAGGGAAATACCCACTTCAGCCATTTGTATTTGAATGGATATGATGTTCTGATTCTATCGATGGTGATCAGTGTACAACATGACAGCATCCATATACAAAACTGACTACCATTTTCCTCTTCTATATGCTATATCCCTTCAGAACATGAGCAATCATGACTCTCCTCAATTTCCTTTCCTATTTAGCTCTTATTAAAGTTTATCTTTTCGCTATAGCTCCTACTCTCTATTCTGCCACCAATTTCCACAAACTTGTTAAGTAGGTGTGCTTCTGTTCCTCTTGCCTAGTGTCCTAGTAATTTCCACTGTATCTTTCTGATCATAAGTTTCTTTAAAAGTTTGTGCAAGCCATCACAATTGGACCATCAACACAAACATCAACTTTTGTGCAGTGTGCTTGGATATGACCTTAGAACCAAACCTTAAGCCACAACAAGCCACCTGACTTGTGTGTCAGGGCACAAACTTAGAACTAACGTGAACTGTACTGTTAAAAATCCAAGTGAGAATGTTTTATAAATATTTCAGCGTATCACACCGTGGACAGTATATAAATATTTCATAGTATCACCCCATGGGCAGTATAAACATTTCATGATATCACCCTGTGGACGGTATAAATTACACTAAAAGGAGGATTAAGAGCATTCTAAGATGTCTGCAGTTACTGCTGTTTTATTTAAATGTTTTTTTTCTCTCATATCCTTTTGCCAGACAAAAAAAATCATCTTTGTAAATGATAAATAATTATTTTCTCCTTCAAACATGGCATGTGGAACTAGAACAGTCTACCCCAGTGATCGAAATAAAGGGTTCAGTTCGAAATTCCAACCACCTGAAGAAGGCCGGAGCATACAACGGCCGAAATGTTGTGACAAATATGGCAACAAAGATGAGGACAATAGTTCGACTAATGTAAATACTGTATTTTCTCCTTGTTTCAAATCCATAATTATTTTTCATTTTTAAAAAACACCTGTCAAAAAATCACAAGAACTTGAACCTTTCTCCTTTTAGTTCCAATCCACTTCTCTACAGTAAAGCTATCCCTAAGTCATATTTGTTCAGCTTGCCATTTTCAACAAATCCCTTTTAAAGTCAGAAATAGAATTATTCAGGCCTCTTATTTATTTTGGCTGGTGAAGTCTTTGTCAGCTTTGAATACTCTGTTATTGGTTATTGCCAAGAACTGAGTTTATTGATCATGATAAAAGTGGCTTCATTTTGATGCAGTATACAATCCACTCAGGTGTTGGTCAGGTAAAAAATAAAAATAATTAAGATACCTTCCCACCACTGTCCTCTTCATCTGACAATATGTGGCATTTGTGTTCTATTTTTCTCTCTTTTGTATTATTGCTTGTCAAGCTAAAAAAAATTACTTATTCAGATACAGAAATATATTTTTTTATTCATGCATATATGTCAGTGACTGGCTCCTGTCAAGGTTGATAATAAGAGTAACAGCTTTTACTATTAGTACTACTTGGGCAGATTGGGAGAGTGGCCCAGTTGCCCACTCACCCATTCTCTACTCTATCAGATATCATGGGTGACAAGAAATTTTTTCAGACTATCTAGTGATGGAACGATGTAAAAAAGAGAACTGGATATATACCTTTTGCAAGTGCGTAAGTACAGCATTAACATAAGAGTATTCAGTTGAAATTTGAACTTGGTTTACTGATTATAGCTTGTGCACTGATAATTGTCACCCTATACCACACTGTTGATTTAAACCACAGTCACCTTACACCACATTGTCACCCTACTGAGTAACATAAAAAGTAAGAATAAGACATATTTTAAAAAAATTTTATATTAACTTTATTGAACAACATACAAGGGTTGATTAATATGTAAGGTTTCCTGCCATGCATCATTGTAACATGAGTAAGAAAACATGCAGATTGGGGGAGGTGGGGTGTTTCATTGGTTCTTCCTTTTCCATTTCTTCAGGTTGACACCTTAGTGATTTCTGGGTGGAGGGGTCACCTGTTTATTGTAGAGTTATTACAAATAATATTGAACATATAACAAGAACATTTTATTGCCTTAACACCTGACAAATGTCACAAGAACTTAAATCTTTCTCCTTTTAGTTCCAATCCACTTCTCAATCCACTTTCTAAATAGAAAGGACATAAAGAAACAACTGGAAATACATATATAAAGATATTTCTATTTCTATGTACAGTATGTATAAATTTGTATTATAAATGTTAAAAGACTCACATTTGATCCATTCTAGGTATGACAATAAACTACATCCAGCAGCAAGGCCTCTCACTGGGAGGTTTTTAGGAGCATGGAATCACCTCTTAATTGCTGTTGTTCCCAGGTACACTCTAACCTGGGGTGGTAGAACCTGTTAAGGTCAAATAGTGAATTCCCAAACTAGGGTCAAAACTCTGTGAAAATATAAAAATACATTTTCATAGTAAAAAAAAACAAAAAAACAATAGATTTTTGTAAAAACAAATTTCCAACAACACATTTAAAAAAAAAAATTACCCAAGCTCCCAAGAAAATTAAATTTTGGCATTAAATGACCCATAAAAAGCTGATATAATATTAAACAATCTAAGAATTGTAATAAGATCCTGAATTATCTAACACTAAAATATTTACATTATTTACAGCCTCAAAATTAATAAGGGGTCTAATACTGACTCCTCTGTCAAGTCCATTGCCAACAACTAACTGATTTTTCTTTACTTCAGCTAGACACTGCAGAAATTCTTCATATATGCCTGCTTGAACCAAAATTCAATTAGCACAAATATAAGTCTGTAAAAGGAAAAGTGAATTAAATAAAGATTAAAACATGTTATTAAACTTGAAAGAAACTAGTTTAAAAATTAACTTTCAGACTTCATAGTGCCAAAAGTTCACCATATTCATCAAATGGTATAAGTATTATTTATTAATATAAGTAATTACTTATTCAGGTTTTGTAAATACCTCATATCTTGAAGGACTGCCAAGAATGAAAGTAAAACATGGGTGTTAACATGAAAGAACTCTTTCATGACATTAATCCATATAATATCCTACTATTTTTTTTTAAATCAAATTAATCTGCAATTAACTCAACTGTTGCAAGTATGAAAGAATTCTGTTTTTTAAATCTTTTAAAAGTAAAAATATCCAAAAAAGCTAACTTGAAACTAAAGAAATGTATTAGCAACCTGTTTTACTTTAATGAGATATTTCATTGTTATGGTAACACAAGACATATTTGCTTATTGGCATCAAGCAATGCCTCCCGTTACCATAACAGCAAAATATTTTATTACTAAAAAGAGAAGATCAAATTACATAACAAATAAAGATAAAAAGTCACATTATTTACATGCAGACTATTGTTCTCATCTTTGTTATTATCACAATGTTTCAGCTGTTGTGTTTTCTGGCTTTCATCCTGATGAAGGCTGAAGTGAATAATGGCTGAAACATGATGATAACAACAAAGTTGAGGACAATAGTCTGCATGTAAATAACTTAACGATAATTCCCCAGACAAGAATTTTTTTGGAATTAAACTTGAGATGTTATGCATAATATTTGCCAAAGATGTCTCTACAAAATGCAGGGAGTAGAAGTCTGTAACACTGGGTTTTTATTTATGATTCAGATCACAGCTTTATATCATGACAAACAGACAGACACCTTGGTTACCAAATGTCAACTAAGTGATCATAACCTCATCCAGATTTGGAGTCTACCTGAATTGCATCTTCAATTCAATATTCCTTGTGCACTGAACCAGACGACATGGACAAGGCTGGTAAATAAAGTATTCTCTCTGCTTTTATAAATGACTTATCTTCTAAAAAAGGCTGGTAAATAAAGTATTCTCTCTGCTTTTATAAATGACTTATCTTCTAAAAAAGAAATTTCAAATATCGTATATACTTGAGTATAGTGTGAGTAATTATTTTTAGCACAGACTGGGTTTTATAGCCTTGGGTGGCAACTGGTCTAGAAGAAGAAAAAACTGAATTCAAAACCTGGGTGAATAGTAGGGCAGTCTGGGCTCTGTAGCTATAGTTAGCAACCAGACTCAGAGAAGGAAAACTCTGAATTAAAATCTGGAACTTGAGTGTTGTGTTCTGTATTGTCTCTGGATCCCTATGCTATTACATAAAATGGTATAAAAACAAAAAGGGTCATTTACTTTTGGTATCCATTTTATTAAGAGTGGCAGCTTGGATTCTAAGAGGCAGTAGGAGGAATGACGTCACAGAAGCACATATCACATTGGCTCAGTGACACTCTGCAGGTGGTATTAGCTTGTTGCAAACCTGGGTGAGGGAGGCATATCAATGGTTCAAAATTCTTGAGACCCTCTGTTCAGTTCACCCTGTTTCTAATTTATATTCAAAACCCAGACAATCCATCACTGTCAGAATGCCTTGCCCACAATTGCTGACCTTTCTGGGCCTTGCCTGCACATATTGTAACACTGAGTCTCTAAGACAGTATGATATCATGTTCAATTTTGTTCTGGCAACTCCTGCAATAACACTGGTGCCAAGCTGTATTAGCCTCTGACCTTCCCATGGACAACATTGATGGCATGAAGAGAAGAAATGTGCTGCATGGGCAACTGCCAATCTCTCATAAAAAAAAAAGAAACAATGCTCAGGCCTGTGTCCTGAACAGAGCATATCTCTTCAGGCATAGATCCATGGTCTCTTGAAACCAACAGATGCCATAATAAGTTTGTTTTTATGATCAGTTTTTTATGCTAAAAAATAGTGGGGGTGTACTATACACAGGTAATTTTTTGAAGAGGTTAAAAATAATGCATTTTCAAGTAAATTTTATGGGAGTGGTTAAAATTCATGCAAAATTTCAGGTGTCATACTATTCATAAAGTCACTAGTATATGCAATATTTAGCCTTCATCATTTGCTTAAATAATTCTTCTTGATTTCAAATGTTAACTATCAGCACTCACAAAAAATAGAGAAAATTTTGAGAAATAATTTCTGTACATTAGCATTCTTTAGACCTTCCTTAGGCTGCAGCATTTGTCAGAATGGATAAATATTGATTTTTATTGAGCGACTAGCAGTAGAGCCCGGCGTTGCCCGGGGATATAACAGTAAGAGATAGATCAAGTATCCACCATCATAAAGACTGAAAAATAAAATTGACAAAGATTATTGTTTAAGGTTGACGGACATGCATGTCTTAATTAGTTTTTATTTTTTTTATTTTTTACGAATTGGTCAAACCCAAACTCAAACAAAAACATTGTTTTCAATCGTTATGAGTCTCCCAATTGAAAAGGAATTTTATTATAAATAATTGTCTTGTAAATGGAATTTTTAAAGCATTCTGAATGTTAAAAATAAAGAAAAAAGTGTGCAAGAGAATAAGAAACACTACCTGCCAAAAAAAAAAAAAAAGTGAAGTTTTGTTTTATCGTCTGAAAAATATAGGAAATCAGCTCCCATATTTAAAGGAACCCACACACACACAAACAACCCGATGTGAGTTGTCCCCCTTCCATTTTCATGATGTCTCTTAATCGTGTTTTCAAATTGATTTTGTGCAAAAACAATTATATTTTTCCCATTTTTGGCGCTGTTAGAACCACCACAAGGTAATTTTATGTAGTCCTGTGAAGTTTTGTTGAAATCGGTTGAAAAATGTAGGAAATCCGATCCAATATATAAACGTTACAGACACACACAAACACACACACAATCTGCGTTTTATAATAAGTAAGATTATTTCTTTATTTTTATTTATTACTATTATTATTATTAATAATTCTACCATAAAAAGCATCATAACAAAGTACCAGTGATGTTTGTCCCTACCAGCTGATCCATCCACCTAAATGTCTCAAAATGCTCCTCAAATTTTTTAATTTGAAACTACAGAAGAATGAAAAGGAAAGTAAATTCTGGTAATGATAAAACACTTGAAATTCTGGAAATGATAAAACACTAGCTTGAAATTCTGGTAATGGTAAAACACTAGCTTGAAATTCTGGTAATGGTAAAACACTACCTTGAGAAACATAACATTAAGACTACAGAGAAAGATGTCCACCAGACAATGCATGCTTTAAATATTACATGCTTAAATGCAGTATAAACCTTTTTCCTGAAGCCATCTGACATGCCTGTGTGTTCTTTTTTATGCAATCAAATATAGTAACTGAATTTACAGAATGTGTTGCTCTTCATATTTAGCAGATATAATGCTTTTTTCACGATACATTGAACATTTCTGGATAATTAATTTAATGAAAGTTTCCTTTTATTAGCTATATATTGCATGTTTTAAATATGACAAAAGATACAGTTATCGTTGTCAATCTTTTCATATCTCAGTATAGCCCCTATTTTTTTTATCTTTCTTTCCTGCCACACAAGATAGACCAGGCTTATTTTCAGGGTATTTTGTAAAATAATTTCTCTGAGAATTGTCTACAGTTTATTATGGCTTTCTGTTTGGTTTGTTTTGTCTTTCAACATATCAAATTTTTCCAGGTTATTTTCTAGGTTATTTAATGCCAAATACTGTTGGATGATAATAAAAGACAGTCATAGGCTTGGCTTGTGAAAATGTGTCAAAATTATATACCTTGCACAAGACTTTAAAAAGAAAGAAAGGTACACTTTATAAGTGGCCCCTTTTTTTGGTAGAAAGATGTTACTCCTCTGCATGGAGATGAGATATATGCATGACCCCAACCAACAGAGAGAAGATGACCATTTCTTGCATACAATATATCTAATAACATTATTGGCTCACACATTGAGCCTCTAGTGATAAATACATAGATAGTTTCTGATTCTTCTCAAGGGGCATTTTCTCTCTCATACATAATGTACAAATTAGTTTTCATCAGAGCAAAGTAGCATTATAGATTTCTCAGGACTTTTGGATTGAATATTTATTAGACAAATGATCATTCTATGATTTGCTAATGAATAAAAAATTAATTTCCTATTGAGCAAGATTAAGATTTCAAGGTGAGAGAGAAAAAGGTATCGTCTCATTTATAATAGAAAAGGAAATAGTGTTTCAAGGAAGGTGCGGTGGAGTAATGGATAGCAGCTTGGTTTGAGGAATTGAATAGCTGAGTTCAAATTCCAGTTGAATCCATTACATTCACTTACATGCTAATTCTCTTGGGAAATGTATGAATCCTCTTGTTTTTTTCCTTCAGCTATGGGTAAGTAGTAGGCTAGACCAGGTTCTATAGCCTTGGATAACAACTGGTCTACCACAGAAAAATATGGCAACCTACTGTAGGAAAAAATCTGCCTCGTCAGTCATGTATCAAAAGATACATGATCTCCTAAGCATGTATCATGCATGGCACATAACTGACTGACTGTTTCAAGGAAAAAGGGAAATAATTTTTCACTTTATACCTCCCAGGAATACCTCCCACATAATGGTAAAATATTAGCTAGATGAAGACACTATTGCCACTAATGTCTTACCATTATGTGAGAAGTATACACATATGTATTGTGTTAGAATAAAAATAGATAGTATATAATATTTGATGGGATATAAGACCTCCCCTCACTTCATTTATATGTAATATTTACAGTATTATGGAGTTGCGCTAGGTATAAATCTATCATGTGTGGGTAAACATTAGTGTTGCAGATATCTCCACTTGTGGCAGCAGTATTCAAAGTAAGGCCAAAAGGCAGACTTACAAATATGTAAGATAAAATTTTTTTTAAATCCAAATCAAAAGTTGCTGTGTGGAGTTAGATCAAATGGTCAACTAGAAGGTTTCTTTGTGGATAGAACTTTTTGGAAAATGTAAAACAAAAAATGGTGCCTATGTTGAAAATTATTCTTAGAATTTTAATGCGAAATAAAATTTATTTATTGGTTTGAAATTCCAATGTATATCACTTGATGAATGCTGAAGTGTACTACCACCAAAATGTCGTAAATATGACAATAAAGATGAGGACAACAGTCTGAACAATGTAAATAGCCTAGAATATTTATTTTGTTTTGATAACAGTTTCATTATTTTTTTTTATGTAAAACTTGTTTTACAGGATTGGTGGAAACCTTACTTATCAATCAACCCTGGTTTTTGGAGAGAATTAAATTTACTTCTTTTTTATAATTATTTCATTATTCTATCTGGTCTAAAACTTGTTTTTCTGTGATTGGGGACTTTACAATTAACTGTCATATAAGAAATTCTTCTTCTTCTTATTATTATTATTATCATTATTTATCTTCCATAATGATTTCTTAACTTTTTTCTTCAGGGTCACACACTACTGACTGGTTATAAGGATGGACATCTTTTTTGGCACAAATTGATACAAACTGAAGACCTTGGACCTCTAAATCCCAAAAGTAATCCATCTAATTTTCTAAATGTATCTTACATATTTTCTGATTATTTATACCCATTTCATTTGTTGAAAAGTAGGTATGGGAGGCAAAATTGTTAACATTTCTCTGAACTGAGTTCAAAACCTGGCTGAGAAAGTTTGCTTTCTCTTGGCACTATTTCCCCTTGGAAAAGCATGAATATCTTTTCTACCCATGGATATCAGTAAATAGTAGGACAGTTGGAACTCCTTAGCCATGTAAGGCAGCCTGTTTGGGGTATCAGATTAGCAACTGAAAACCCTGAAAAAATTTACAATTGCTACAATGAGTAGTTCGCTATGGATTCTTCGAGGAATAGAAAGAAATTATTGCATCATGTGTTACAAAACATGGAATTTTCTTTGCTTTGCATTACAACTTTTTGAACCAATGTTACCCAATTGAGCTACCAAGTAGAGATTCAGGCTACATTTGAAAGCCCAGTGGTATTAAATTTTGAACTGATTTTGTTCTCATCAATGTTTTTTGCTGAGTTTGGTCATTCTTAGCAAGTTCTCAAGTCTATGTCACATGTTTAAAATATGCTTCATTTTTTAACTAATCTGAGCCTTGTCAGACTTATAAGTTTTAAGCTTCTGCTACTACTACTAATTATTATTATTTAATTATTGGTGCCTATGTTGGAAATATGACCTTGAAATCAATGAGGAATGGTACTAACCTTGTCAGAGAAGGTGATTAGAAACAACCAAATCAAGATCTTATAGGATTTCAACATCCAAACATCCTTGAGGTCACCAAACCAGACATCATTATCATTGAAAAAAAAATGAAAACAATATAATGCTTTCTCACTAATGTGGGTGTCCCTGGTGACCAAAGAAATTGGCAACCTTAGAAGTATACTGACCTCCGGATTAAGGTTGCCAGAATGTGGGACATTTAAGCCAGTACTGTCCCAGTTATCATTGAGGTGTTGGGGTCTATATCACCGAACTTAGTCTTACATTAACAAAGTTGGAATAACACATAATATCCAGAAGTCTACATTGTGTGGCACTGCATATACAGTGGAATATATAGTGGAACCTCGGTTCACAAATTTAATTTGCTCCTGAAGGTCATTAATAACCTAAAATATTCATAAAACCGAAACTATTTTCACCATAGGAATCAATATAATAATGGATCAATCCATACCTGGACTCCAGCTGATTTCTTATTTAAACTTTTCCAACAGTACAACAAGTTCATACCGAAAACCAATGAAAATCATTAAATCTAACACAAAAAGATAGACACAATACTAAACAGATAAAATATAGATGAAAACTTAATTTCACCGTCACTTTCTCACAGACGTGTTGTCACTGCCCTCTGTCTTTTATACAAGTACTTTCATGGTAACTGCTCTGACAAGCTATTTTTGCTGGTACCCAAACTACATGAATTTAAGTGTGTTACCAGGTTGGTATTTCAGTACCACCCTTTCACTGTTGAAATAATTAAATGTTGCCATCTCTTCTACTTCAATGCCATCATGTCTCACACTTTCTGTGAAACTCACTTCCTTTTACTTGCCTCCATGACAGTTACAGTCCTCAAATATTCAAATGTAATGTCCACTGACATTTTCTGATGCCTTGATCTAATTTACCATTCTTCTCTTTATCCTTTCCTTAATCACATCTATTTACTCTTGCTCCCACTCTCTGTAACCCCTTGAGTGCTAGTGGCACTTCCTCTTACTTGCTTCCCTGACAGTTATAGTCTTCAAATATTCAAATGTAATATCAATCGACATCTTCTGATGCCTTGATCTAATTCCCCATCCTTCTCTTTATCCTTTCCGTAATCATGTCTATTTATTATTGCTCTCACTGCCTGTAACCCCTTGCATGCTAGTGGCACTCCCGCCTTGCTTGGGGTGAAATGCTTAAAAAAAACATGTACTGAGTAGGATTGATAGAGCATGTGGAAGGAGGTGAGAAAGGGTAGAGATGTTATTGTTTGACAGGTGAGTCCTCTTCTTTAAAGACATCAGGTAACTGTCTTCTTGGAGTTTCTTATCTTTCTCTATTCTGTCTCATAGTACCACTTGATGATAATTGATACTTCCAGCTTGTCGCACTGTGTTGTTGCTGGCTTGCATGTTCATCACTTGAGACACCGTTTGTCATCTGAGACATTTTAGGTTGGAAAATTTGTTCTTGAATTGATTTGTTCATGACGAGAGGCATTCGTGACACAAGCTTCCACTGTATTCTGCAAAAGCTACTGTCTAGAGTCATACAACTTGACAAAGAACACCTGTAATGCAGGATCTAAACAATATTCATCTAAAAAAAATAAAATTTTCTTGAATATTTTCAGACTTTGAATTATGACACATTGTGTCCTTCACGTTTTGATTGACCTGATTAACATTCATGAATAATCTCAAATTTAAAAGCCTTGATAAACCAATGACATCCTCACTATAGTATATAACCACTTGCAAAAAAATAAAGCCTACATTGTCTTGATAAAGTCCCTCAGAGGGCAAAATGTGTTGGCTAAGAATAATTTTTCCTCTTGTCTCTTTTTAGTCATTTTTTTCCTATATACATACACTATTTGAAAAATAATAATAATATATATATATATATATATATATATATATATATATATTATTTATTTTATTTTGAATTTTTTTTTTTTTTTTTACTATTGTTCACCCAGTACAAGGGCCACTCAAGGGAAAGGGTTACTGTTTGGAGTTGTATTAGTGTAAGAAAGGGCAAAATAACAGGTATGTTAGACAGCTAATTCTAGATTTGAAGAAGTCAAGATTTAATTAGCATTCAGAGTTCAGGTGCCAATGTTAGAAGTATTGAGTTGAAGTAGGCTTAAGAAGGAACTGGAAACCCAATCCTAAACTAGAAACAAGGGATGAACCTCTGCTACTGTTCAAAAGACCCAGGAGGAGTGTGAATTGGATGATAGGTAACGCTGTTTATTTAAATATATATATATATGCATGCATGTCTGTATGTGTATAATTATAAATATTAATTTTAGTGGATATAATAAATATTCAAAGAAGAATCTGCAATGTTATTGGTCCTGACTTGGCATCTCAGCTCCAGTCACTTTGCCCTCACTGTAACATGGCTTCCCTGAGCCTTTTCTATAAATATTTTCACAGTAATTGTTCTGATGAACTGTCCTCTATGGTACCTAAACTTTATAAGCTCAATACTAAATTCCAGCTTCTTGCTTTCCAGTCAACTTTGATCTTCAAAAATTTAAATGCAATTTTAATTGTTATCTTCTGTCTCCTTAATTCCTCTTCTTTTATTGTTCTAAATACTAAATGTTTTTTCTCATGTTCTCTCACACTCAGTAACCACTTGCATCTTAGAGGCTTTATTGCCTTGCTTGTGGTGAAATTATTAAAATAATATATATAATTGTTTGTATGGGTTTCCAATTTTTTAAAATAGTGAAATTAATGTCCATTGGCCAAGAAACTGTTTTAAAAATGGTGATATTGACTAAAATTATTTTTGTGGTAATAAAATTAAAACAAATTAACAGTTATAAGCATTGAAAATCCCAATGAGAAATGAGAATTTCATAAAAGGAATAACTGAGCTTTGCTTTGCTATAGAGACCTCTATAGCCAAATGGTTAAAGCACACCTGGTTAAAAGTGGCCTCCCAAGATAAAATGAATGTTTTCTAGGCCAATGGACATTAATATCACTGTTTAAAAACAGGGATGTCCATGCAAAAGCATGTATCCACTGAAATAATATTTATGGACATAAAAATAATGTCAGTACCTGAAAACTGATGTGTATGGAAACAAGAAGTAATTAAAACAAGCAAAATGGTAGTCCCTGTGTAATCAGGTAAATGAAATGTTCATGCGAAATAAACCATTGTCTTACTCAAAAAGGTAAGCTCAGATTAGTGATTCCCAAACTTTTTTTTATGTCAACATTTTCGGAATTAAAATTTGCTTGTGCCTCACCAAAGATAAGTCCTGGTGAAAAGGCACAAGCAGTCCTGTGGTAAAGAAGGTCCAGAAAGAGGGTTTAAAGGGAGATAACCATGGATTCGAAGTCAGAACATTATCATAGGTAACTCTCTCCTCCAATTTGCAAACACTAGTTACTATATATTCTTAATACTTGATATAATGCAAAAATATCAAAATGATAAAATTGGTGAAAGATTATTTATACTGGGACTCATGCATGCAATTACAAGTAATCCATAATAATATCTTAAATTTTGAAGTCATATTTACTTTTGACATTTAAATTTTTTTTAAACTGTTTCTAAATCTTTTGCTGCACCTATGAGATGCACCTCACCATTTAGGAACCACTGGCTCAGATGGTGTTCATTATTTAATTGATACAAATTCTGTATGGGGAAAATAATATTATTGAGGGTCTTTATCAATATTTTGCCTTGATAAAGTCCATCAGAGGAAGAAATTATGCAGCTAAGAATAGTTTTTCCTCTTGTTTTTTTATTCATCTTGTTCCTTTACAGTTGCACTCTATTTGAAAATAATATATATATATGAAGAAATATAGTTTTAAGGTGTGCTATATTTATGGTATAAAGTGCTCAATATCAGAGATAGAGTGTATGTAAATATAAAAGTGAACATTGAAGTCAACACTCAGAGACAACAGGCTGTTTCACACTAGACGCAATCGTTAGGCCTGGTGATTGTATCAAACATGAAACATCCTGTTGCCTCTGAGTGTTGACTTCAATGTTCACTTTTATATCTATGCATATTTTCAATTCAAAATAACTTGTTACCTTGACTTTCTCCAGTTAATGATGAAAGAAAATAAATTTCATCCAATTTCAAAGTCAAAAAATCTCATGGCTGATTTGAGAAACTTGAATTGAAAAATAAAAGTATTTTTCCCTAAACCCTTCATGTGTCTCAGAGTAGCTTATACTTAACATCAGAAAGAGACAGTTGAAATTTCTGGGGCACACAATGAGGAA